CTGGTGTCAACAAGGCCGCGGATAGAGGCAGCGCCCCCCGCGCCCGGGACGCTCTCCAGGAAACACTCCGCCCCGAGCTCGGACTCCTGCCTGCGCCTGCCGCCTCCTTCCTGCTCGTCTGTCTTCGCCTGCCCCTTATTGGTCACTGTCACCCCAGAAGGCTCCGTCCTCCGACCCTTCGCCCTCCGAGGTACAGCGAGAGGGAGCCGGGGCATCACAGGGACTTCACAAGCAGTCTCCGCACCGAGGCGGTGGCAAGAGGAGCGTAGTGGGTGGGGTGGGGAGCGGGGGGCTTTCACGTCTGGTGAATGGGAGTGAGGGGCAAAGGAGGCACATCTGGAGATTGTCCCTGGGCATTGCAATTGGGGGGCAGGATTTAGAGATCGCCCTGGGCGCTCCCTCACCCTCCCTGTGGGAAGCAGAGAATGGGAAGAGAGTGTGTACGGACGAATCCGTTGTTCCCATATATTACGAAGTCTGGCAAGCTGGGTTTCTGGAGTGGAGAGAGGCCTTCACCCTTGTGAGTTGGAGGTGAGACCCATTCACATTCTCATAATTAATATTGTTCCCCACGATATCCCATAATAGTGCTACCTCAAAGTTACCTCTTACAAGCACATGGCTGATTGCTGTCTAGCCTGCAGCTTTGACTAGAGGAGCAGACAGGAGCTATTGCTCTCCAGCTCTGAGGACAGCCACGCTCCCTTACCTGCCCTGGGCACTGGTGTTCGGTTCCTCCTCCAATGTACTCAGGGACCTTTAGGGTTAGGGGACAGCCCCCTTTGTTATATATGTGGTTACCTGTAATTAGGGGGGCTTGCACCCCCTTTCCCCCACCTCCACCCCGAGTGTATATTCGCTCTCGGCGTGTACTTGGCTCCTGAAGTCATGGCGGTCCCGGAGGTGAGCACTTGCATGCCTCATCTTGCCTGATGGCGCTTTAATTTTACCCCTCAATTCCACAACCGGTCCCTGGACCCATTGGATTGTGGGGGCTGGTATGCCACACCTCCCTCTGGCTCTGTTTGGAGTTCCGGTGGAGTTCGTGGGCTATGCAAGAGGATGAGAAGAGAGACTTGGCTGTCTGCTCTCGTCAAGATTTGAGACTGGTTGTTGGCTGCGTGTGTGTTTTGACGTTTAAATTGTCGCAGGGCATTCAGCTGTACACGGGGGCATGTATCTAAATGTGAATTTGTAGCCATGCCAAACCTGCATGAAGGATTCATCACATTGATGGTTTTCTGCATGCAGTTAAGAGCCTTAACAATGTGTGTTCCTCTTTTGGGTTTGTTTGTTTGTTTGTTTTTGTCAGATAAGAGGTTGATGTCGCTGATATCCAGAAGCATGTTAAAACCGTTGCATGAAGTTACAGATCATATTTGATCTGTTGCCGTCAAAAGCGAATGTTCCCTCCTTCTCCCTTCACCCCCACCCCCAATCATCTTCTCTTCCTCTCTCCCTCCCCTTTTCTCTCTTCCCCTCCATCTTGTTCTTCTATCTTCCCCGAACATGTACTTCATCTCGCGCGCACACACACGAACAGAACTCGTAAGGAGAGAGAATTGATGCCTGTGAGTTACAGCGTTGGTGATGAAACCGAATACACTACGAATGCCCCTTAGAATCAAGGTTGGTGAACCTTCGGTTCTGTACATTGGGCATGTAAAAGGGAATGTCTGGTCCTTCGAGAAGGACCTCTTACTTGGTGAAGTAGGGGGTCACCTGAGTAGAGGAAGATGCTCCCCAGGGTGGATCGACACAGTGGTGCAGCAGTGGACTCTGACAGGACAGTGACTGTGAGACTCACCCGGGAGCGGACAGTGCTTCGTGCCTTGTGTTGCTATGACTAGACTTGTGTCTAGTCGAGTTGGAACTGACTAGACAATTCTCAATAATAACAAAGTGTATTCTCTCTTCCCTCTCCTTTTTATATATTTACCCAACTTTAAAAAAATATATCAATGGAAAGGAGAGCGTGAAATGGTGGGAAGGACAGAGGAGAGAAGGGGAAAGTCATAAATCTAGAAAGATTTAAAGTCTATGAATAACAATTTGAGGTCCTAGTTTAAATCATGATTCCAATGAACTATAAAAATGGAAGTTGGAACACCACTTTATATTTGATAATATAAGAAATTATTGCTAATTTTTAGGTAGTTGATAGGTGGCTGGTGGTGCAGTGATTCACAGCTTGGCTACTAACTGAAGGCTTGGTGGTTTGACCTGGGCCGCCACTCCACAGGAGACTGATTCCATAAAGCTTCCAGCCTAGGAGACCATTTGGGGCCATTCAGTTCAGTGCTTGAGAGACAGTGTTAGTTGAAATCAACTCAAGAGCAACAGGATTCTTCCATTGGAGCTGCCTGTTGTCAATTTGAGAGGATTACCAGTGAAGGGGTGGAGTCTAGCCTGTCAATCATTGTATAGCCAATGAGGCCTCTGTGTGGGCATGGCCTTCCCCTGAGGATTCTGAGAAATCCTGTATTTCCTCTTTGGAGGCAGAAACACTTCTCTCTGCTCACTCCCTGCGAGACCTCCCTGTGGAGAAGACACATGGAGAAAAGCTGATGGAGCCAGACCGCAGGAGCTGGAGAAGCCATGTGGAAAACGCTGTCAGTGCTGAGATGCTTCCACTGTCACTGGATCCACAAGACTTCTCACCCACTGGCCTATGATCTTCCTGCATTCGGCATCATTGCATGTGTTTCGTGAATCTGAAGAGGACCTTATAGATTGGTATTGGACATATGGACTAATATCGGACTTACGGCCTTGATCTGGACTGGGCTGGGATGTTTCTCAATGTATAGTTGCTCTTGTATATAAACCTGTTTCTTATACAAATATGAGTCTCCCTGGATTTGTTTCTCTAGTCTACCCAGACTAACACACTGTCATCATCCACGTTCATGGTAGAACTGCTTTGAAATAAAACACATTCTTAAAAAGCCTGACAGCCCGGCGATCAAGCAATTGGCTGCGAACCAGTAGGTTGGAGGTTTGACCCTCCGAACCATTTCTTGGGAGGAAAAAAATGGTGCTCTGCTTCCATAAAGATTAAACCCAAATCGAACCCGCTGCTGTCAAGTTGATTCGGAGTGACCTTATAGGACAGAGCAGAACTGCCCCTGTGGGTTTCCAAGGCTGTCAGTCTTTTTCTTGCAAAATAGCTGGTGGGTTTGAAGCATCAACCTTTCAGTTAGCAATTGAGCATTCACTTTAGCCACTGCTCTACCTGGACTTCTTTGGGTTATAAAGAGTATGACCTAGAGAACCCTATCAGGCAGTTCTACTCCGTCACCTTGTATCATTATGAGTCGAGAATCAATTCAAATGCACTTAACAGCAATGGTTTCATAGTTCACAGGTTACTAGGTTGCTGAACTGGTTTCCCATGGAGCTTTCAGACTACAACAGACTAGGAAGAAAAGCCTGGCAAACTATTTCTGAAAATCAGCCAGTGGAAAAGCAAAACAAAGAAAATCCTGTGGATCAGAAACGTCCTATCTTCAACCAATTTTGAGGATGGCAAAAGGAAGACCAGGCAGCCTTTTGCCCCGTTGTATGTAGGATCCCATTCGTCAGGGGCTGGCCCTGGGGCAGCTAACAACAACAGTGATTTTAGGCTTATGTTTTAGAAAGGAGTCCTTATCTTTAGAGACTTGTGCTAAAATGTATATGGTGAAAGGTTTGCTGTGGGAAGTTTGCTCTAAAGACATAAGATTGGGAGAAGATGGGGAGGGCCTGGGTGGGTGGTTGGCCAGGATTTGACCATTGTTGAAGCTGGATGATGGGAACATGGGAGTTCTTCATGCTGTTCTGTTTTTTTTTTCATTTAAAAATTTCTGCATAACAGGTTTTTTTTTAAGCGGGAAAATAAATAGAGATCCGTTGGTGGACTAATCTCAGCATTTTCAAGCCTGTAGACAAGTATATTATACAAGTATATTATACATGGGTCCTCTTCATGATTACCTTGTGTGACTCCTCTTGTATACCCTGACCTCTAACTATGGTCAGCTTCTGGGAACCTGTTTGACCTTTGGCTAGAGTTTCTACCTCGGTGCTTCCTTTCCTGGTTGTTGACGAAAGCTAGCCTTAACATTTCCAATGGACTGTGTACCTGACACTGTACAGTTCTGTGTTCAACTGGCCAGCTTCCCATTTCTATTAATGGCTGAGCATTTCCGCTGCCTGTATTTCAGACTAAACAATTTGGCTATCTTTGACATCGCCCTCCTCTTCTGTCTGTATATCCACTTAGACATCAAGTTCAATGCATTCTTCTTTCAGTGTTTCTCAGACTTTTTAACTCTCAGTGCTACCTCCTAATCTCACACTTTGTTTTCTCTAGTTTTTCTTGCCCTTCGTGCCCTCCTTCCCGCCACCCCACCTGCCACCATCCAGGTGGTGGCCCTGCGTGAGCTACTAGATTAAGGACCTCATGTTTAGTTGAAGGTCTGAGGAGAATCTTGATATATAAGCTTTGCAAACCCAAATTGCTTCCATGACAATCTCAAATGAGCCTTATTCAAAGAAAGTTGGACTAAGGATGGTCACGCAGCCAGAAAAGTGGGCCCCAACTTCAATAGAGTCAAACATGGAAAACATTATTTCTCAATTGTTAAGCAAACACACTCTTCACTGCTTGTTGGTAGGTCAGCAGCACTTTAGGCCTTGACAGTGGACAAACAGAACCCAAGGCTGCAGGGTCTCATTTCAGTGACCGGACAGACAAATGCCAGAGCTCAAATATTATTGGTCAAGAAGAAAAGTCCAGAGATCCCTGCTCATTTCCCTGCTCATGTGCTCGGGACTAGAGCAACACACAGGTTTTCTAGAACACAGACTCGAGACTTAAAAGGGGACACACATTGCAGGATTGTGAATTAATTGACTGATTGGTTCATTCATTCATATGAGGTTGTATAAAACTGTACCACAGTAAATCACATGTATGTAACATGTGTGCTTAACAATTATCTGCACTGGGAACAAAACGGAATGAAACTGGGACCTTACAGGACAACTCGGATTATTGGGACACGGGGCCTAATCAGCTTCCCAATAAACTTCAAAATGCTTAGACGTGGGGGCAATGTCTTTGAAACTCCCACACAGATATTTGTTACTGTTAATTTCATTGTTACTTATTACCGTTTCTTACTTGTTACCTTTTATTTTATTTATTACTTTTTAATTTTCACTCCCTAGATTAGCAACCTTCTGTTTGAGGGGAGGGCTATCTTCCCCAGGCCATCCATAAGCATTTCCTGGGGACATGACCTCATTACTCCTAGCCACAGTGATGGGTGCAGGGGTGGGTAAATGACCAAGCAGCGTTTTCGTAGGACTTTCTAGTTGGTTCTTCTGGTGAGGAGGGTCCCCTTTCCCTTTTGATGGACATTAGGGTGTAGCTCATATGGAGCTGGCTGCTGTCCAGCCGGCCAGTCTGAGAGCAGGAAGACACCACAGAGAGCTTTGTAGGACCGGATTTCCTGGTGCCAGGCTTGCCTGAAGTCAGCTTCACCCCTACCTCTCCACCAGCTGAAACGTCTCTTATTGCTTAACTAGATCTAGTGGGGTTTGGTTAATCACCATCTGAGAATCTGGTACAAACACAAATCAATGACAGTCTGAGCAGGACAAGAAATCAAAACAATGAAAAAAATTGCTTAATGCAAAGTCTCCCAGAAGCTGGCGCTCATGAAAGGCTCTAACCTTGAGGACTCGCCTTTCCGAGAAGTCCTCAAAGAGGTTGATTTGTTAATGAGATCTCAAATGGTCTTGCTACCACAGGTTACTTCATTAGACAAATCAACTTTTGACCAGAAAGAGGCAGTGTTTCTACACCAGTCACAATTTTCCAGCCGGTCCCACAAGGTCTGCCTTTGCTTGTCGGCTCTGAGGGCAGCCGTTGCTCTCGGGGGTCTCAGACTTGGAGGATTTGGCCTGAGAGTAACCATCAGCTACATTTCCCACCGCCAGGTCAGATTCCCCACCTCCTGGGCCCTGGCCCTGTTCGCTCCTGGACCACGCCTTGGTCTAGGCTGCTGATGCCAAGCCACATTCCCACCCAGGCTCTCCTTGCTGTCATCTTTCTTTTCCTTCCTTGAAAATTCCAGTGCCCACCAGGCATCAGGTGCAGGCTTGGGTGCTTTGTAAAAAATGATTCGATACCGGGAGGGTGGAGGGAGGAAGGGGGAGCTGATGATAAGGATCTACATATAACCTCCTCCCTGGGGGGACAGACAACAGAAAAGTGGGTTGGGTGAAGGGAGATAGTATGAGATATGACAAAATGATAATAATTTATAAATTATCAAGGGTTCATGAGGGAGGGGGAGCGAGGAGGGAGGGGGGGAAATGAGCTTATACCAAGGGCTCAAGTAGAAAGCAAATGTTTTGAGACTGATGAGGGCAACAAATGTACAAATGTGCTTGACATACAATGAATGGATGGATGGATGGATTGTGATAAGAGTTGTAGGAGCCCCCAATAAAATTATTAAAAAAACAAGCAAAAAATGATTCAAATCACTTAGCGGAGTGAGCTGTTTTGATGAATAAGAGATCCATGTGCAATTTTAGATGAATATCAACATTCGTGAATTCCCAACCAGCCACTTCGTGGCAGAAAGCTGTGGCAGGCTGAGCCCATGAAGCCAGAGTCCTTACGAGGGGACAATCCAAAGCTGCACATGCACAGACCAAGGTCACCTGGGGGCAGGCGAAGGTCCTGCACACTAGCAACACATGCGCCTGAACCCAGCCACCCCCACCCCCTTCGTGCGGGTAGGAGGGGAGAAACCGCAGAAAGCAGGGCCCGGCCTCATTCTGTTCGGAGGGCTGGGTAGCACGCAACCGTCTCCCCACTTTGGTTCCAGAGACCACGATAGGCGCCCTGGCAGCCTCGTGGTTACGTGCCAGCTGCAAACCACAGGCCAACAGTTTTAAACACCAGCCTCTCGGCCGGAGACCAAGGGGCCTTCTACGCCCGTGAAGTCTGACAGTCTTGGAAACTCACAGAGGAGATTCAACCCAGTCTCACCGGAGCGCCGTGAGTCGGCATTGACGGATGGCATTGAGTTTTGCGTCTGGTTTGGGGACCACTATCGTAAACCGAGCGCTCGTTTAAAAAATGTAAAAGGCTCTGTGACCTCTTTTAGACACACACAAATCCTGACATTGAGTAATTGTGGGTGGAGGTGGGGGTTGAGGAAGAGTTGGTCCTGAGGGACGTGCCAGCCTTAGGCCAGCGTCTGGGACACAGTGTGGTGGCCTGATCGTGTATGTTCTGCTTGCCTTCATTCTTCCTCGGGCCGAAGGGCTGGTCACCGCTTAGATTTCTGCTTTGTTAAGACAATAAGGCCACCAGGCACTGGGAGTAGCCGGGAGTCACAGCCATCAGGATGACCATGTCTGCCCTACTCTGGCCGTTTGCCAAAAGTGACAGTCTTCCCATGAGGCTTTAATCTAAGTCTCCCAGCATGTCAAACGACTGACTCGTATTAATGCCTTAGGCATATTGAGCACAT